TCTTTGTATTTCTTGCTTAAGTCACTTAGAATATTATTGATTGAAGTATTTCTCATGAGATCAATTTGGTTTCAATAAGGCTATCTATTTGAAATATTTCATGCTGAAAAACAAGACAAACTTTGAGGCCTTTTAGTTTTGTAATGGATGTTAAATATTCAGGCCATTAGTTAACAATAACCCAAAGATTTTAAACAGATGTTATGAATTATGTAATATTTCACTGTAGCACTAAGAAGAGATGACACAACATAGAACAAGAAAAAAGTTTTATACGAAAAATGCATACTAAGACCCATTTCAGATGCACTAATGCATATTTCAGTAATCTAAATTATATAAATCCCTCACAAACTTCTAGATTCTCGGAGAAAAACATGCTTTTCTGCTGACATCTACATGAAGCATTTTGATGGACACGAACGCTTTGAGTGCAGAGCCTCCCATATTAGACTATTAAAATGTCTAAACACAAAGTTTAAAACCTCTAGGCTAAAGAAAATTGATGTGGCAAAAAAAAAAAAAAAAAAAACCACCAAAAAACCCCAAACTCCCAAGTATTCCATCACATCACATCTAGCTTCCTTTATGGATTAAAAATAAAACCAGCCAAAGTGTACATGGAAACAATGATAAAGTTTGAAAAATAGTGTCTCTGACCAGATCAACTGAAATGTATGGAGCATTTTACTCAATGTTGTTCTGTTTACTAGAAATAAAGAAAAAAATTAAGAACTCTACTTTTTCAAGTAGAGTTCAAGATTTTCAAGTCTTTATGAAAAACACAAGTATCTCACAAAGTGTGGCAATTTTTTCCTCAGAAGCAACACTCCTCAGATCACAGGATTATGCAGGTAGGAAAGACCTCAGGAGACATCTACTCCAAACTTATGTTCAATATATGCTTAAAAATACTTGAAGCAGAGCACATGACAGCATACCTCCCTGTAAAGACATTGGCACCATTCAAAACTCATCTGCAGAAATACAACCTGAGAGGAACAGGTCTTCAGCTCAAAGCTTGTTCTGCAGCTCGACACCAAGGACAGGAACAAGACTTAATGGGGGAAGTTACTCCACAGGGAAAAGGAGCAGGGGAGAAAAAGAAATAGGAGCCCTGGACACTCTTAACAGAAGTTTGTGTGCTTTTCACTAAAGCTTCCAAAGAAAGGGAATCATTCCAGATAGAATTGAGAACAGCATATATTTATATATATATACATATTGCCTGATTCAGGCAACTGTAAGGAAAAGGCATGAGTCTTAAAGGACCTCAAACTTCAAAGTATTTTATACAGTTCCCTGTATGAAGCTTAATTCTGACAGTGTTGCTGCAAGTGAACTGCACATCATTTCAATTCCTAAAATGCAATTCTAAGGTATTATTTAGTTTAACGGCGTAATTTTCTACTGCATAAAAATAATCTCCATAATATTGTATAGAAATATAGATTAGATTATTTTTCACTTTTAAAAGTTGTGTGCATATCACAGGAGAAAATTGGATATTTTAAATAATGTGTTTGTTCAAGTCAGCAGCTGCTCTTTTCACAGGATTTCCCACTGGGCATATATTGCACAGTTTTTTAAAGTAGACTAATTATCTGAGGCCATGTTTTATAAACAAACTGGTCACCAGAGGAAGGAGCGAAGACACAGAAATGCCATAATCATTACACTTAGTCCAAAAAATGTGAAAATTATTTACAGTTCTCTTTATCTATCTTAAAAAGCAGCACAGCTTTTTGAAGTACCCTCCAAATAGAAGCGTAGATTGAAGAATTCAAATTAATTTATTTATAGGAAATTAATATTTTTCTCAAATCTCTAGCATTTCAGATGTTTGATATCATCATAGAATTTAGAGTATTATAAGTGGAAGCATTTAATTAAGTTTTCTCAATAAAAGTTAAATTAAAATTTCTATTATTTCTTCATGTTTTCTTTAGTTGTGTTTTGCATCATCAACATACTGGGGGGAGGGCATTTCAGTCTGCTTTAGTACAGAAAAAATAAAATGGCAATAGAATGACTTTATAATTGAAATATCTACACTGAAAGGTGGTTTTTATGACGATACTTTAATTTTACTGTGAATCCAATCTGTTTTAAAATTTCTATCATCTTAGTTTTCTGGAAGCAGATGTAAGTGTGAAGGCAAGCTCAAGATGAGGAACTACGGCACCTGGAGTGGTACTTAAAAGCAATTGACTATAAAAAATTGAAAAGAAGTGAAATTTAACACAACAGTTTTCTTATTTTCATGAACCAGCCAAGATTATTCACACACACTTAGAAACAATGACGATCTCAAGAACTAAGCAGGAGTTACTTTTCTGGGAAAAAACAAACTCTGTGAGCAAGCACGTCCCCTCTCACTGGGAGAGGTGGCACTTACCTGGAGGAAAGTTGCTGTTAATGGTGACTTGATCCTACAGGCACAACCTTTGGATGCAGCTGGCCTCTCCACAGTCTCCAAGTAGCTTCAAGTTGGTTTAAGGAGGTTTTTAACCTCCTCTTCAAATGCTTCCAGAAGAGCCCTGGCTGCCTACCTCTTCATGCCCATTAAACAAGCCACAGCCTCCAGAACAGAACACAACACCAACCCAGAGGCACCCAAGAAATCTCATCTATATGTAGCTACCATCACAAGCACCTGGGAAGAGGTTGCCATAAGTACTGACAGCTGTGTAAGTAGGAGGGCTCAGGATGGCTGTTGGAAGACAATCTGGCTCCTAATTCTGAAAACCTGGTAGTTTTTTGTCCTAGAGGAGGACTAACAGGCCAGTCAATGGCCAGATGGAAAAAGTTAGGAGACAATCTAGCAGACTGACACAGGCAGCTTATGATGTAATACTAGAACACAGAAGCCCATCAAAATGGTTCCAAATGGGGTCTTTTATTTGGTTTAATCTCATTGTTTTGGCAAAGCCTGCATGTCACAGTTTCTTCTCACCATTTACCTCTTGCTGAGGGCCAGCTACTGCGTGGTGGCCTTGTGGTCCCAAATCCTGCAGGACTTCCAGGAAGACATCACTCCTGTGGCAGTAAATTGCTGAATTTTTCCCATGGATGTCTGAACTAGGGCTGTCTCTGTGTAGTGCCAGAGCATTCTTTGTCTTCTAAAGATTGTTAACAGGCAGGAAGTGCAGCTCTGAGCATGCTGCCCGCATATAAAAGAAAATATGGAAAGCTAGCACCATAAGAAAGAAATTAGTAAATAGATTGCTATTGTTCTAAAAGAGATGGCTACCTATATGGCAGATGGCAAGAAAAATGGATGGAAGCAGATGCAATTTTTAGAGTGAAATACCTAAAATATTCCAAGTTTATTTACAACGCGCTAAGGGAACATTCAAAAGAATGCACGTTCGAACCTCAGAGAAGCTATATGGGGTTTTGTTTGGGAAGAGGAATTAAGTCTGCCATGTTGGCAGTGCAGCATGATAGATCTTGCTGCAGTGGCTCTGACTGTGCATTCAGAGTGTATCTTGGCTTAGAGCTAGATTTCTGCTTTGCTTTTCAGTTCTAGGCAGACCTGATTGTATGACTGCACAGTGTTTGCCAGCTACACTGAAAGAGACCTACATTCCCTAAAGGAGGAGATTATGACTACACGTATGAGCCATTACAATAAGAAAGAGGGGATGAAAATGTTCTGAAAAATAGCAGAGGATAAGCTGTTGCCAGCATTGTGACCCTCCCTCTGGAGGGATGATCCTTAATGATCATAATTAGAAAAAATGTTCCTGCATCAATAAAGTAAGAAAAAAGTAAAGAATTTTAATATCTTGAATTATGAAAGGTTATTTCTGGCTTCACCAAGTTAGGGTTCAGTTTTTAAAGCCATATATTACACAGAGAATAGAATATGACTTTTTATTATAACAAAATACTTTGAATAGTTTGAATAATTAGTGAAACAATTTGACAATACTCTGAAAGGAAATCAGAAGACTCAGAATCAGCACACATAACCTAAAGACAAGCTGAAAGATTTTAAAAATCAGGATCATTATAATTATCAGAAAAGGTTAGTTTTCTCTTTTCTGCATATTCTCAAGACCACAGACTTTCTAAGCACTGCATTTCCCTACTTCAGGTGATCAGAGCAGTGTTGAACCTTTAACTGGTATCAATAAACTCACACAAAAAAGCCAGGACTGAATCCTTTACTGAGACCCATTTCTATTATTTAATAGCTTTTATTTCCACAACTGCTACTGTATTTTGCTGCTATTTTCCCCTACAACACTAATTTAAAAAAGTGGTACCTAGGGGTGGAAAGATAAGAAAAGCAGATGGTTTTGAAAATGAAAGGGTAGCCTATAAAAAATAGACAAGGCAAACACCATTGGGAAAAAATGTGACTGAGTTTAAAAGAGGAATCTATAACTGAAAGGAATGTAGAGAAAGGGACAGGGAATGATTACAAATAAGAACATAAGGGAATAGCTGAAATTAATCAGATAAACCATTCTCATGGTCAGGATAATAGGATTTGCTATCAGTTTAGGTGTCTCAGCTGAGAATTTAATTTCATTAAAATTAATTTTTTTAAAATTTTTCAGATTGGAAGTCAAATAAATGTCAATTAGTGCTTTTTTTAGAGCTCTTTTTATCAGTACTTTTTATAGGCACATGTAAAATCAGAATCTAAGATTAATTCTTTTGGTGTGATTAAAAATTAAGGCATCATACTCAAAATATCCTTTTTTCCCACTCCTCTACCTCCCCCCATCTCTAATATCTAGATACCTGTAGGATAAAAATTATCAACAATCACTGCCTGGTATAGATTTTTGTTTTTCACATGCAGCTGAATACCTCATTCTACCAACTAAATTGTCTGTTTAGTAGGAATAGCATTTTATAGCTAGAATTTCCTGATTATCTTTCCTGATAAATCAGTGATATGTTGAACACCAAACAATGAGAAGATACATAACTCACAATCGCATTAAATCTTTTATTCCACTGCAGATGTAACATATTGGCATAGTCATTAAAATAGACTACTGCAGAATTTAACTAACTTTTTTAAAGGCATTAAAAAATCCCTCAACAGAAATACTCTCCCTGGCTTGAGGTTTTTTCCACACCCTTCTGCAGAAAGCAGTTGTTTACTTTCTCCTAGGTAAAGCAAATTAATGTCTAAGGTTTTCAACAACTCAGATAAGGGTTAAGCTTGTTTTAGCAAAAGAAAGCTCCTAATCGACTTTCTAATGTAATTTACTTCACATTTATTCCATGAGTACTGCAAGTTTGAATTGTTTTAGCACATGAGATAAGAAGGTCTTAAGGAAGGATATGTATGGTGTAGAAGCAGTAAATGACAAATTATCCTTTTCCTTTTCATAGTACTGTTTTCAAACAATTCTTTTTTAGTGTTCAGAGTTGATCTGAAGGAAAGTTTTAAAATGCTCTGAGTGTTCCTGCTGTCTAATCAGCTGTACCTGTGGCATGACTCACAGTCTGACTGCTACTGAGGCATTTGTCCTTCACCCAAATCATTCACTAGATGACACTCTTGCATTACAGACACCCTCTTTGCTATGCCAGACATCACACTGACTCCTTATCAATGAGAACATACATTTTAATGAAAATAACGAAAGAAAATGTTTCATATGTTCATGACATGCTTTGTAGAGAACAATTCATATTTACAAGTAAAGATGAAAACTAAATTTTAAAAATATTGTAATACACCAGGTACTACTAGAAAGCAGTCTTAAAGTAACTGTACTTTTGTCTGAAGTTAAGATGTTGTGCTCAAGACAAAATAAAGAAATGAGAATTTTTCTTAATTTTTTTCCCCATTAAATTATTGCACATATTTCTTTGTAGATTCAAAGTACAGTAACAGATTTTGCAAGATTGAGTCACTATTTTTGTATATGGCCTGAAGTAAAAAGAAAAGAACAAATAACAAGTAACTTCTTTCAACAATGAATATTTCTTTCACCTAATTACATTGGAAGACTAAATTAATGAATGCTATTACATTTTTTTTCTCATTTCTACCCTGATAGGTTGGGATTCAAAGGATTTGTCCAGTAACTTAAAAGAGCATCTTCAACAGAAATGTGCACTAAATGCTTTTATCAATTCAGGTTTATTTCTCCAGCAACTTTTCCAGTCTCCTTACATGTTGCTAGATGTGAAGATGAAGAACAGATCCATCACACCTTATTTTGTCACATGAAGAGAGGTTATGAAATTAGGAACAGCCAGTGCTGTTCATGCAGTACTAGAACACATGAGAATATAGTGCCCCTCTAAATTTGCAGCATGTGTACAATCTGCAGAAATATTCCAGGTAAGATATCTACTGTTCCAGACACAGACAGTGCTGGACAAGTGGTCTCTTGTAGAATCTACTGTGAAGATTAAGTTACCACATCTCAGCAAGGGCCAGCAGCAATTTTGTTTCTGTAGGAATAGCATCACCTGAATAGAGTGCTCTAAATCTTGGAGTTTAACAGAGTGCATTTTACTTCTTCAAATAAATCTGCTCTAAAACTTCCTTTCTGCAGAGAAGATCATGCTAAACAAAGTTTAGACCTTTGTTTTCTTTGTACAATATATTTGTGAGTACACATGAGCATAATTTTTGGTACTTAAATTCTTTCTAACATATGTGTGCAATGCCACTGTTTTCTCACTTACTCAAGAGTTAGACTCAATGGTCCTTGTGGGTGCCTTTTAACTCAGAATATTCTGTGAATCTGTGAAGATATTTCAGAAAAGTAATTTACATGTATGCTTCCATGAAGACTAAAGTTCTTTTTTTCCACTACAATATATTCAGTTTTCTAACAGAAAAAATCTTCTTGGTTGCCCTGGTTCCAGCCAAGACACAGCGAGCTTTTTGTGCCAGCCATGAGAGGGCAGAGCTGGAGCCATGTGGGCATGGCCAGGTTGGTTGTTTTCTACCACCTCAGGTCATTCCAGGGCTGGGGGTAAGGGACACTTACTTCTGAGAAGGCCATGGTGGGAGGGAGAAGCTGTTTGCAGTTGTTCATTGTCACCTGAGGTCTGCAGTGAGCATTTTTGCATGTGAATCACCCTCTCTTTTTATATACTTCTGCCATTAATAATGTCGCTGCTACTGTTGTAGCTCATTTCTGTTTCCAGTAAATTGTTCTTACCTGAGCCCACGACCTCTGCCTTTTGTGCTTTCTGTCGGGGGAGGGCTGGGGCTCCTGAATTTTGGGGGTTTTTTAGTGGTAGCACTAATTTGGGGAATACCATTTCTAAACCACAAAATTAGGGTAGAAATATTTTACAAGTTCAAGTTATACACCTAGTTGCAAGAAGTTCATTTAAAGCATTTCCCAAACTGTCTACTAGGATGCAAATGTTTCCAGCTCATGATGTATCATGATGTTACATGACCTACTTTAAAAAAAGAAAAAATCTTAATTCAAGGATTGGATTCAATATTTCAAAATTTCTGTGGTTTTCAAAACACTTATTAATATTTGAATTTAAAAAATTCATATTATTAGTGATTTTCAGTCAATAAAGCCCCAATTCAGATGCCTAATACAGTTTGAAGTGATATTTGTGCTTCTAAATATTTTAGGAGTTTTTTCCATTTCTAAGCACGTCATCCACTCCATGCACTTCTGCAGTTCTGTTGTCAACAACACTCTCAAACTCCTCAATCTATTTTCCTTCTGAAAGCTGGTCCTCTTATCCTTCATTCCTGGTGGACAATTACATACTGTCAAAAAAAAAGGCAGAAAAACCTTCAGCAGAAAGATATTTGACACTTGTGTGGGAAAACCAAAAACACTAAACCCCATAAAAGGAGAGCCACAGATGGCAGGAGAAGCAGCTGGAAGCATGGTTCATTTCTCCTGCTTTGTTAGGTCAATTAGATTATGTGAGTATGTGCCAGGTAATGGCTTTTTCCCTGAGCCAGTGCAGCTTTCAATCAACCATCCTCCTCCAAGCTAGTTAATTATACATGTCAAGGATGTATGATTTTAATGACAGCTCTCAGGTTGACAGTGCAAGCAGCTCTCAGTGATTCAGAAACCAGCAAAAATGTCGCTGATAACTAGACATTAGAAATGGCCCACACTCAATCTGCTATTAAAATTTAAGTCTGTAGCACCAAACTGTGGAAAAGGAAAGCTGATATACATCTACATTTATTCAGAAGAGGAGGACAAAACCAAGAATATTTTTTAAGCTATAAAGAAAGAAGAAAAGCAGAGAAGATAACCCAGGCATCTAATCTTTAGATTTCATTGCCTGCAGTAAGAGTCAGCAGTTTGAGACAAAACCACTCCTGACAGGTCTCACAATGAGTTTTGGGTTTCTATATTAAATTACTCTGCTCTATGAAGTGTTGATTATTAAGAAATATAGTTTGCTAACTAAGACTTAGTAATTTCCTAATTATACTTCTCCCACACTGGTGCACATTTAAGCAGCTAGAAAGAGAGCAGCCAAAGAGACATGAAAAATCATAGACATTTTTACAATTAAAACATACACCAGTAATTTATTATGTGTACAAACATGAAATGTCACATCTTACAATAAGAGCTGTAGTCAGCGCTGTGAATTCTATATGCTACATGAGGATGAATATCATAAGAAATATGGAGAAGGACTTTTCACAAGAGCAAATAGTGACAGGAAAGGAGGAATGACTTCAAACAGAAGGAGAGTAGGCTTAGTTAAGATTTGAGGAAGAAATTTTTTATTATAAGGTTGGCACAGGTTGCCCAGAGAAGTTCTGGATGCCCCATCCCTGCAAGTGTTTAAGACCTGGTTGATCAGAACTCTGAGCAACCTGGTCTAGTAACGTTGTCCCTTGAAACTAGATGGTCTTTAAAATCCCTAGAAAACTCAGGCTATTCTATGATTATATGATGAGCTTCCTAGCAATACATTTCCTATTGGAGTATGCTTTTCTGAGAATTTCAAACAGATTTTTTATATAAATCAGTGTTCCTTCTTTAGTTATATCATGTCAAAGCTGAAACTTTTCACACAGGTGGCTCCCTGAGTAGCTCTTCAGGCACTGGAAAATTGTCCCAGAAAAAAAAAAAAAAGATTATTAAATGAAAGTTTAAAATTTTATCACAGCTCAGTTTCTATATTAAAAAAAAGAAGCTGATTAATGATATGGAATTAAATCCATAATGCTCAAATTCTACAAGAGCATGGTATAGGTAACTCTGCATGCACTCAGAACCAGATTTATTTAATTTCTATGTTTGCATAGTCAACTAAGGGATACAAGAAGGAAAAAAAGTGCATGTAGTACTTTTTTGGAATGGTATAATGACCACTAATCTGCCAACCTTGAAGTCAGCAACATTTTATGAGTTATAATGAGAAATTCGCCTCATGTATTCCTAGACCACTCTGACAGTAAAAGCTGGGTGGAGCTGCTGGTTGCATCAGGAGCAAGTTCTGCTGTTTGCACCTCACCTTTGCCTCCCATGTGCTCAGCTTTCTCCAGTGCCTTGCTCTAGCTCAGGAGGAAACAAGAAGTAGCAGGATTTTACAGAGCAAGATAGAACTTACTGACCTTACAGAGAGGAGGAGATCACAGCACCAGGCAGCTGCACTTCTCTCCCTTTTGCATTCCACTTCACAGCTTCCCAGAGGAGTTCTGCTGAATCCAGAACCAGGTGCATAAAGTTAGTCTGGACTTGACCACAGTCTGCATCCAAATGATGTATTTATTTCAATTGCTGTTTAAAACCAAGCACCACAACAAAACAACAACAAAATAAGAAGAATCGAAACATTTTCTATTAGAAATCCAGTAACAAGTCAGATGCATGACTGCCCATCAGAGATGTTTTTCTGTATTATATCTGTATAAGGTTTAATGAAAAAAAAAAAAGTGAATGGCAAATATCAAGCACCAGGCTCTGGAGAGGCAGGACTACTTGAGCCACCTCACAATTTTTTTCTGGACAGGAAGGTTGTAGAGAACCACTAGTGAATTACTTACATTTTTACTGTCTCCAATGTTATGGCTCTTCCCAAGTAAAGTTCTATGATGAACTTTTTCTTCTTTCTTCTAAGAATGACATGGTCTGAAAAAATAATGAGGTAGCCATAGGGCTTTTCTGCAGATGTGCTGCTCTTGAAAGGCCATTTGAGACCTTCCTATTCTTATCTCAGATGCCAGCAAGTGTCTGATCACACTGAAATAGCTCACTTGGGAAAGGCTGTTGGCATAAGATCACTGCCCAGAAGCTCTTCACGCCAGCTCTTGGAATGAGCCAGCTGCTGTGAAACAACAGCTGTCCATGGTGGGCTTGGTAAACTTATTTAAACTTATTTAAATTAGTCGCCATATTGTTGTGACGCTAAATTGAAAGTGAAACTTTTCAAAACCACACAAGTGCACAATCCTATAGAATCAGCAATTATAATGTCAAAGAACTCCCACTAATTTTGGCAGCCTGACCTTGTTACCAGTTATAAACTTGAAAGCAAGATCACAAAACTTTTAGTCAAGTCACATCAGTACCTGGGAAATATTTACAACTCTCCTTACCCCTAGCACTACCTGTCAGTGCGTACTTTGATGACACTAATTAATGTTGAAAACTCAAATGAGGCAGAAAGCCAGGATAGTATCTAAAACAACATTAGCATCTTTCATTTCAAAAATACAATTTAATGATATGTAATCTGTCCCAACATCCCCAGCCAAACAATATCAGTAGCTTTTCTTCAGTCTTGAAAAGTAGTGACTCTTTCTGCTATCTTCATTCCCAGATGATCAATAAAATAATGAAAGCCATTTGAAATCCTGTTTCACTGAAATATAGACATTATAGCAAGTAAATTAATTACCATCTCCAAAAATAAAATCTTTACTGAATGCAAATTTCAGTAATGTTGGTCCGGCAAATCACAAAACCATGCCAATAGGTTCTATTAAAAATTGCAGCTTTTTGGAAAAACAAAGAGAAATTTCAGGCTTGAGAATTTTGAATGACAAAAGCCTCTTGATTGGGGAACACTATTTTTTTTACAGAGGAATTTGCAGCTATTTGAAAAACAAAATATGATACTTGTTTATTTGGGATATAAATAAAGAATTAAAATAATTCACCAGCAATTTTTTAAAAAGCATAGGCAAGGAGATCATAACTACTCAACTCATGTCTGAATATTTTCCTCACTTCAGAATACATGGGTAATCAAGACTTTTTTGGCCCCTGTTCCTTTCATCACTCATGATTTGCTCAACCCTGAGATGAGCTCAGTTGGCTGGAGCAGAGTGCTAGTGATGCCAAGGTTGTGGTTTTGATCCATGTGTGGGCTGTTAGCTGAAGAGTTGGACTCACCCTTCCAAGTGAGAATATTCTATGATTCTGTGAGTCAGAAGAAAATAACACTAAGTCCTGTCTTGAAGACCACCGCTAATGAAAAAGCCTGCAGGTGACAAAGGGAATAATTGAATCAAACACATGGTCACAGTTTGCTTCTGTCATATATGCATTCAAGAAACAAAAGTCTGTTGCTTTGAAACAGGCCTTTACAGCTTACACCTGGCTGGATACGAGACAGCTGAGGTGAAAAAATTATAAACTCACCATAGGGCTTTGTAAATCAAGACACCTCTGCAGTGGCCATCTGACCTCTTCTGTGTGATGGTGTGGAGCAGTCAGTCCAAATGGGGGCATTAAAATCTTTTCAGGTAACTCCAAATACTGTCTGGAAAATACCAGAGGATGCCTTTTTCTCATTCCACCTTTCTCATTACTAAACACAGCATGCAGAGCCCACCCCACTGCGATATGTACAACACAAACAGCACAGTGAAAGGTGATACTCTAAGAAACCTTCTGAATTATTTATTTGGTGAATGATGCGTATAAACTACTCCTTGGTCTGGCTACACTCTATATAAGTTAAATATAGGATATCTGCTTTATACAGAGTTGAATATTAACTGACTTTGGACTGAGGTCTTGACATTACAAGGAGTACTCTCTTGTAAAATTAGATCCAAAATTAATACACGAACTTTTCTTCATAAAAATATATAAATTTGTATATGACCAAATATCTGGCTTGTGTTTCAGTGTTACAAAATATTACAGAGAAAGAAACACATTTGTTAAATCATATTTTCTGATTCACAAGGAATAAAAAGGTAGAACTACAGTGTGAAATGCTCCAAACAATTAGCCTGTGAAGTGCTCCGAGGCTTTTAATGCTTTTCCCCTGAAGTACTAAAAGGTTGTTTTTCTTTTTTGAATGTGATTTCAGAGAGGAACAATGTACATTAATTAACATAAAAACAGGTTTTTCAGTGTTCACAGGTCTCATAAAATCTGCTATTTACAGCTGGTGCTGAATATACCCTTTAATGTAATATACCCTTTAATATTTAAAAGATTTGACATCCACTGGAGGCTTATCATTCATTTCATGAACACTGCTTAGGATCTAAGCAGGTTGTATGAGACCTGGCATCCTAACAAGGTCTCATCTTGAAAATACTTACGATGAATGGTCCTGAATAATTCTCCTCTGGAAAGGCTCTGATCACAGCATTTGTAAGCATTATCAGGCCTGACCTATCAGCTGGATTTCAAATTTTGTTTTCTTGATTGTGTTAACTTTAACCAGGATTCTTGGCCTAACTCATTTCCACACACAGCTGCACAAAATCTTGTGCCAACAAAAGAAAAGGGGTGGCACAGAAGTGGGGCTAAACTAAGTGCTTCTTTCAGCTGCAGTACATACTTAGGCTGCTCAAGAGGCTTCCTAGCCGCCTTACCAAAATAACACTTACCTTTCTGAAGTGAGAACAGGCTAAAAACCTATATTTTCTTCAACAATAGTTTCATTATCTCAAAAAAAAAAAAAAATAAGACGGAGCAGAAGCAGCACCAGGACAGCAAATCAGAGTCTGTGTAATCTGAAGGTAAGGACAGCTGGATAACTACTGGAGTGCAAAAAGAAAGATTTCTTACTGAGTTTTGCTGCAGTTATTGTGAATATGTATTTGCTATATGCCTACAGCTTTCAAAAGTACTCTAACTGGAATAGTGAGAGAAGTGCTAATGAAGTAAAATCATTTAAGTAAATGTTTTAGATTAGATAAGAATAGCTCTCCAAAGTTGTTAGTAATTTCTAATAAACAAGACTTGATTAAGAAAACAACACAAAACTGAATGTAGCACAGCTCATATCAAGCCATAAATCATAGCTAAGTAGTGTTAGCAAAAGACCTCCACAACTGAACATCTATTTCTTTTCTATATTTTCATAGTTATTTAAATATATTTTCATGTACTTATATTCTTTATTAGCAAAAACTTTCCAAAATAGGAAAAGTTAAACACATTAGCCGAATGACTTTCCATATATGTCTTGTTGTGGAAGTATTGACTAAAATAAAATCTCGCAGGTATTTCTTGAAAGCTAATGTATAGAGCCCAGAAAATTTCACCAGCCTCATGATATAGGCTGATAGATTATAATGAAATTACAGATTATAGATTATAACAAAAATTCAATGTACAACATGGTTTAAGATATTCCTCATGAATGAAAACATTGTGGAGTCCCAAGGGATTCAGTCTCCTCTATAATTCACCTATTAAACTAGAACAGTTATAATTGCTACTATGAGACACACCAAAGGGAGTCAGTAATTTTATACTCTTATGTCAGTGTTAGCTTATCTTTGAAAAAAGTGAATGTTCTGGTGGGCACTCTTGTTGGAGCTGAAAGCTTAGTTGAAAAAAGGACCACTGAGTATCAGCAAAGCAAAATGCCAACACCAGTGACACAGTATTTCCACTGAACTCTTATGACACAAAGTAGGAAGAATTCCTGTTGTGTGCTATGCTGACTTACCATTTAGCTGGTGGAGAATAAGCTACTTCATCCAAAATAGTCAGCCAAATAGTTATTTGCATGATTACAGAGAATTGTCTCATTAAAGCGTCAGTGCCCAGATTATCGTCTCTTTTTCCCTCTTTCTTTTCTTTCCATTTTTCTTTGGCAGAAAATACATATGTGACTGGCATTATTAAAAGTTTAAAGAATGCTGTTTGGAACAGCTGTTAGAAACTATTTTCTTTGAGACAAGCACAGTTGAAAAATATACTTTGTCCAGTAATCCTTTTATTAAGACTTCAGAGTGTAGAGACAAGAGGACTTCCAAAAGAGTTCAGAGCAAAAAGACTGGTGGAGAGAACTCACTCAATAAAAGCCCATATCAAACTCATTCTTGGTGACAAAGGATGTCACCAAGACATCCTTTTTTTATGAGTTACAAAATTGGGTTACAAAATATTTCAGGCAACATAAATATGCTTTAAGCTAACAATCACCTCAAAAAAACCCAATAAGAATAGCAAAAAAAGAAGCAGATGTATCCGTATTTCTGGTGCTTCAAGCAATTTTCTAGTCAAATTTATAGTTAGTTTTATCATCACCTTCCAGATCTATAATTTCTATCAGAAGAAAGAATATCACTGATTTTCACTGTTAAATTGCCTTCCATGGCTGTCTTGACTTGAAGATGGAGTTATCTCCACTATGATGAATTCCTGGCTGCTCTTTAAGTGAAAAAGATTTTTATTGTGCAACAGAGATGTTTATCAATGCAACATGTAATTCAAAAATAGACTTTCCTAAAGTATAGTGAACCCCTCTGTGGATTCCTTCATACTTTGTTCTCATGTTAGAGGTTCCCTCTAAAAATGACAGCCAAGTTACTTCTCCAGCTTTGATTCAGACAGAGGGAATCAATCACCTTCCTAAAAATTCTGTTGATTGTAAACAGATTCTTTAAAGACCTCAGACAACCTATTTATGAAAAAATTTTGCTTAGTATTTAAAAATGCTTAAGTTCAATCATCAACTCTAAGAGTAAATTTATGAATAATTGTCATTGCCAATTCCAGTTCTTCTATTGACACATTTTCCAAACACTTACTACAAAGACTAATTTACAGAAAGCATACCATTCATTACATATCAACTACCTGAACAAACATCTGTATTAAAGCTGTTTCATAAAATGCTTGCAGCTCGTCCTAAGCCATTCTTAGGGGGCAAAGTGGAGTAAAGAGAAATGTTTACCTTGACCTTGGAATTCCAAACCAAACCCGCTCACTATTTCCCTCCAGAGCTTTTGGGAAAAAAAAAAAAAAAAACTCTGTATGGTTTCCTGGCACAGATCACAGTAATAAACCTCATGCTAAGGTTTTTAAAACCACCAAAACTGTAAAACCATGAACTGAAATTCTTCCTAACACATATTTTTCCTTGACCACCATCTGTATAAACCAGCATTGTCCTATAACCTGCATAATACAGTCAAGTGAAAATAATGTTCCATTTTATCATCCATGAATGTATATTTTAAATGTCTTCACAGCAGAAATACAGATTCATGCTTAGTAAAGAACACAAAAAAATTCACAATATTTATATTATAAAAAATAGCAAATTTTTATTGAACCTTGTTGTTTCATTGTTTAAACAGAAAAGAAACTTGCACACCTTTATAATTAGTGGTTCCATTCTGATTCCACTGAAAACAGGGTTGTTTGGGACTGTGTCACAGAAATAACCTGGAATACTGAATACAAGCATACTGAAAAATATAATTCTTAGCTTTAAAGTCCAGTTTCAAAGATTTTTTTATATACATTTCTATCACTTTAAGTCAGCTCATGGATACTTTAAATGTGCAGAACGCATGTGAGTTTCTGATCCTTTTCACATGAGCATCAGAATGATGAGCAATACTGAATTTATGGGATTAGAAGTGAGTCTAGAAAAAGTACTACTTACACAGCACTCCAAAAGTGTGTAGATTTTCTAAGCAGAAGAACTGCTCAGCATTAAGATTCTTATTGCAAAGCAAAAGAGCTGCTGAGGAATTAGCAGTGAGAAATGATAACTCTGTAAAATGTATCCTGTAAATTGATATGAGAAATGCAGCATGCCTTTGATATACTCTCAATAGCTATAATCTGGAAACATATTATTTTAAAGAACCACTTTACTCTACTTGTACAGACCGCTATTTTGTTTCTTAACTACTTATCTTGAATTTCAGATTCTTTCTTTCTTTAAAAAATGAAAAAAATGGAAATAAAATACTTGTCAAAGTTGGTGTTATTATTAAGCTTTAAAACTGGAAAAGGAGAATACTGTAAAAATCAGTATTTTCAGTGATCACTCCTAATTTCTAAATAAACTTAAATGTGCCAACACGTTCTTCCACTAAACTTTTAAATATCATGATCTTTCCAAAAAGTAATTATTTTTCATACAACAAAAATCCATTTTCTATGTATACTAACTGGTATACTATATTCAATTATACTGATTTTTTTGCCTGCAAAATGTATAGATTATTTTAGAATAATATTTTCCTTACATTACCTATTACTTTAAACTTATAACAAATACATTTAAAAAACATAGAGAACAAAAAAGTTTGACCTGTATACTTTTTCCAAGATACAGAAGACTAAGCATAACACAAATTTTTAAAGAAAATCAGTTTAAAATGTGTATCTAGAATATGCATAAATTGCTGTTTCTCCATTTACTTACTTTTTCCAATCAGTCTGAACAGTAAATAAGTGTAACAGACAAAACTTCAATATGTATGCAGAACAAAGTATCTTAAATGTTTGAAGAATTTTAAATTGTACATTCTCCTAGAATATATTTTCTTCAGTGTAAAATTTCTTAGTACAAGCATGGTTTGTGATAAATTTCTATTTAAATTTTAGATGAGAAACACATTATTGAATATTAATGAAAATTCTTCACTAGTAGATTAATACTCAGCGTTTACTATGGTAATCCAGTTTTACCACACAACATTTATTCTTATATTTGGTCAATTTGTATAATTAGCTAAAAGATGGTTATAGTTAATATCACACTGTTGTGTTCAGAAAATGTACATATTTTCAGCTTTGATCAGATACAATAGTCATTACACAGTTTGAATTTATCTTTCTAAACTATCAAGTGAATTACTTTCAACATTTTAGAAAACAATCAAAACAGCTTTTATCGTTTCAATTTTATCATCTGTGAAAATATAAAATGAACGTTTTCTTAATTAAGAAAAGTACTTCTTAAAAACATCTAATTACAGATGGAAAGACAAATGTTTGGTAAGGACAGGTTCCAGAAACTGTTAAAGTACTTACCTCAGTAATGCTTTGGCAGATGGATAAGATGATTGAAAATTTTTGAACAAATTGTTGCTTCTTTGACGCACAAATTGACTTATTAATTACTGAATGCGCTGTATACAAGAATCCTCCTTTCTTTTTTTCCTATGTTTCTTTGTTGAGTCCCAAAAGATTAAGGTTTTTCCATTACTCTCAAAGAATACATTATCAAAGATCAAACCATGTGACTGGAGAATTATTTGTCTTAATGCAATGTATTTGCACCTCTTGAAAATAAATCAAAAAGTGGGGTTTTCTACACCTGTATAGATCCCTGGGCATATAGAAAGGTTTTTATGAGACCAGATTTTCAATTTTAGGTTTTTTCTGAAAAAGAATCTATTATATTCTTAGTGATAACACAAGGCTTTTGCCACACAAAGGTAGACCAACACACACACATATATATATATATATATATATATATATATATGTGTATATATATATATGTATATATATAGGATGAAACTTCCAGTCATAATAAAAACAAGGATGTTTTAAGTTTTTAAGTGTTATTTCCTTAGAAGATTTTCTAAGATTTTTTTTCCTGAGTCAACACTATTTTAGCTACTAACGTAAAGCACAGCACCTTACAAGTAGCTATAAAGTTAAGCCCATCCTAGGAAATAGTTTTCTTAATGGAATTATAGCATCTTACTCTCACACTTCTGATCTATACAGAGGATGTAAGACAAATGACTAAAATAACATACATTTTTTAAACAATTCAGCTCAAGCACTCTTCATCGATCTTTTATGGTGCTGGTAATACAAGCATAAGCTCTTTATTTTGTGTCTCTTGCTTTTTGTCCAGACAAAATCTTTTGTTTTCAAGGAGTAATCAAGGACCCTGAATTAGTACCTATGTGTGCAGTGCTTATCCTAGGCAAACAGAGAATCCACTCTTTGAGTGTGCTCTACCATGGGTGCCTAAACCCTTCATTCTACACAACCTTCAGCAGCACTGAACACATCAGTACATAATGTCCCCAAACCACCAAAGACTCCTATATTTAAAGCATGCTGAGCCTGCACAGACACTGCCAAAGAAAACTCCCTGTCTGACCATCCAGGATCACTCTGGCATGACCTGGGCTGGGTCAGGAGCACCTTCCCAGCTACACGCACACTCTCACACCAGGTATCCCCTAGCAGGCTCTCAAATGTCTCTATCGCTAAAACAATTTAATTTTCATGCAATAACAAAGTAACAGCTCAAGCTGAGTGCCTTCAAGACCTCAAGTAAAGGAGCCCCGGGGATTTTGCAAGCACAGGAGGATCTGGGGGTCCCTGGCTGTCTCTGGGTGTCCGGTCACTGGGCACAGTCCCCGCGCCCTTTGTTGTGCCAAGGGACAGAGCTCCACCAGCCAGGGCTCAAACTGCACTGGTACTGCAGCTGCACACTGAGCACTGCAGGGACTCCTCAACACAGTGACCTTACTCAACCACTTTCTCTTTCATTTCAGAAAAAAAAGGAAATAAGGATTATCCTTTAAAATCAAATTTAAAAAAAAGGATTATCACGCTATTAAACTAAACAAAGAGCTGTTCTTTTAGATATTATGTGGGTGGTTAACCTAGTTATAATTCCTGAAAAGCCTGCATATGTGAATTTGTAACCTAAATTCCTTGAAGATTAGTCTATTTTCTGTGAAATAATTATTTCCATTAAGGAAATGGCTGTCTTAAACATGGAAAGAGCCAATACCTCTAGTGGGTATTAATTCATGAAAACACTTCTTTTTTATTAAAGTCTTTTTTAAAAGTCTCTATAGGAAAAAAAACTATTTCCTGCAACATATCTTCCAGATTTATAGAGCAGGAATATATATCAATCAATACAACAGACATCTCTTTTTCTTCTAAAGTAATGGATTTGTTTAGGGAAAAGCCATTTGCCTCCTTCTCGTAAGACTGACACCTCAGGAAATTCTACTTGAATTTTTTTTTCATATTTAAAGATGGGATAGTACCAAAAGTATTTATCATAACAATTTTCAGAGTTTAGCAAAGTGAATTCTATTTATTGTGTAACTAATCTGCACACCAGCCCACAGAGAATCACATACTCAGAATGGTGTGTGGTAAACACCCAACTTAAGCCTAATGTACTAATGCTATAACATCAACTACAAAGACCACTGTATACTGGTGCAAAAAATAAAAGTATTGCTGAAATAGCTGAACAATTTCATTATTTCCTAAAAACATCTGCTGTATATCAATTCACAGCATTCTTTCCTGACCCACCAACAAAATAAGTGTAAGAGATCAAAGACTGAAAACTGCAAAAACTCTAGAGTAACAGTAAAATGAGGCAAAACTTCAAAGAGTACCAGTAGTAAAAGTTGTCTTAAAACCATAAATGGTATTAAACTAATGTAATATTTTACAAAGTCTACATTTAAAACATGCATGAAACAATGCAAGGGCTATGGAAGGATGTTATGATGGCTGCTCTTCCAGGCTAGTTATACTTCCATATCACTGATAAATTTACTACCTGCAGTTTTGCTTTCAAAAGCACAATTTATCTGATTTTAATGCATCACTTAAATGTTATACTTTCAGGAATATTTGCAATATGATATTACATCTGATTGGAAATAAATACTGTCTGGCTTTTATTACATTTGCCTCCAATTTTCATTAGTTAGGGTTACTATTGTCCACTTTAATAAAGTTTGCTTGGATACCTCCTTGATATCAATTAGATTGAATATTCTGACACCTCAGATATATTCTATTATCTCAGCTCTGATGCACTGGTCCATATAGTAGCACTTTCCTTAATATTAATCAATTTAACAGAATCTAAAACCTCCAAAACACTCTGAGACAGAGTTGGACTCTGTTCCACTAGCCATTTCCTGCCCACATTCATTAATACAATAATTTAATACACATAAAAAATTTTATGTGCCTCTTCAATGTGAGGTAATGTTCAAAGTAAATAATTAGTAGCTCAGTCTGTCCGCACACTAACCTCTCTACAGGGATATAATCCTAAATAAAATTAATCAGTGAATCACAAGACCTATTTTGTAGTCAAGATTTTATGCTGTACTTAAGGGTCTATAAAATTAAAAAATAAAAATTTTTAAGATTTTTGACATCTTTTAGGCTCTAGTGTTTGCTTACATTGTTGATTCTATTGATCTCCCACTGAGGATGAGATAATGAAAAACAGCCCCAAGCAGTGACTACCGAGCCCTTTGATGAAGTACATGTTGGACCAGGACATAATTTGTCTGGATGGCAGTAGAGCTTATCTTGTTGCCAATTTGTAAAATGCACCAGAAGCTTTGGCACCTGTTCAGACCTGTAGTTATGCAAACAGCACAGGGAGTCTGCAGAGTGCTGTGGGAAGCCAAGGAATGGAGCCTGTAAACAGAATTGTCTGCTTGTGTCCCCACTTTTTTATCAGTAGGAGTTTCTGAGCAGGGCCATATGCTATGGGGGTCTGCCAACAATTTTTCTAACCCAAGAACCAAAGGTTCAATTTGGACTTGCTTGACTCCCACTGGGATAAGGGGGAGTCAAGATAACTGACTGGGGATAGACCTGCTCAATAATGCAATAAGACAATGGAACTATCTGAGCCAATATCTGCCTTACAGATCTAGCTCCAAAAAGCTGACCAAGACCATATCCATATGATGATATCTTGCTAAAATAAACATTAAAAAGTCCTACAGGAGGCCCTGATTCCCACATGTGAGTTTAACAAACAGCCCTTTTTCTATGAAGACACAAACCCCTCTGGAGACTCTCAGAGAAGCACATCAGTCTTCCAATTATCCAGTAGATCAAATACTAAATTAATATATTTAGCATTCACCAGAATACAAACAGGAAAGTCCTATTCTGCTTCTCCAGGTGAATATCCCAATTACTAGGTGTGGGTTTCTTGCTAATTCTTGAATTTACTCGATCTGTGCAGAAGGAAGCAGTTTCCTCATGAAGAACAGAGGAATACGCAGCCTTGTCCCAGAATGTCATTTGTCTCAGTATTAGTGTTCATTCCTATAAATAGGAAAAGCGGATTCAAAGCCCAGGAAAGTAAGCCTGTGTGCCTCAAAAATGGTTAAATAATAAGGCAACGCTACAGGAAACTTTAGGAGGTTTGCTTTTTTAATCAACCAATTGTTTGATGCTGAACTAGTAATTGTGTTCTGGGGATACAGGTCACAGGACTACTTGGAGTTTGGCAATCCATTCTCCATTGAGAATTGGGAACTTTTTGTTCTTAATTATTTTGTGAGGCTTAGCTAGTTTACCAATTTTAAATGTAGCCATGTATTCTCCTCACTTGTAATACCTGTTTCTTTACCTATCCATTCTTAATCCTTTTCCTTTCCTGTTTCCCTGTTATTAAGACCTTCAACTTTATATATAAGAATTCCTCCTATGAGATTTCAGACCTATTTTGTATTTTCTGAAACAATAGCACCAAATTAGTCTTGCCTTAAAGAGACCAGAGGGACAGGGACTCTATGTGTACCAGAATTCTTTTTCCTCCAAATTCAAGAAATCCCTTTTTATTTAGTTTTTACCTCTTTATAAAGTAGAAAAAGAATTAATTTCTAAAACATAAAAAAAGGGAAAACAGCTTTAAAATTTATCAAAACACAACAAACCCCCCTGCCTTTATTACTTCATTTACTTGCAGAAAATGGTGTAAGCATTCAATTTTCATTTAATTTCTTATTTCCATTCAGTATAGCACCATCATCTGTGAAAGCCATGATACTGTCAAATAGATATAAATTAGATCTGAATCTCCTTTTTTTTAACAGTAAATGCCCTGAATATGTCATTAACCACTGTGCATCATCAACCATACCAGCAATTTGTAACTATTCCCTCATATGAGGTAAGAAGCACGAGGGTACTTTATATCATTGATGTCAATGACTAACTCAGTCTCCTCTGTAATTCTGTCAGCTATGTCATGTCAGCTTTTGAATAAAGCCTCAGCTATAATTAACTGGCTTCCTAGGGTGAAATCAGAGTTTTAGTCAATATTGCTTAAGTTTAAACAATAGCTCTTGAATTCTGTATAGCACCTGTCACTGTTCCGTCTTTCAAATGCTTAACAAAGGTGCTCAGTCTTTTCCAACAGCCATTAGGAAGAAAAGCCAGCGTAGGTGGCAGCCTGTATTATCATATTCCAGATAATTGCCTTTCTGTATGCAATTTTCCTCCTAGCTGTTTTGCATGCAGTTATTATGAATCCATTGCATTCTGATAGCACCCAGATGCTCAAATCGAAATCACAAGCCCTTTTGTTAAGAGACTGTACAAAATATTCCTAAACTAATTTCTGTCCTCAAGAGTTTGGATTCTAAACACACAGAGCAGAATAACAAACTCATATAAATGGAAAAATATCCTCACACTGAAGAGAAGGATAATTTCAAATGTTGCACTTGCTAATAATCACAATGCTCAGCAGTAACTCATTTCAGTTTTGGCTCCTACTTCCTGACCTTACTAATGGGAATATTTTAATGATAGTTAATGAGAATTTTGCAACTGACTTCAAAGAAAGTAGGGTTTTACTTTATGAATCCAGATTCTCTAGAAGTCCAATATGTGTGATGATAACATTTTAATACTGACTAATGTCCTAAAGCACTGCTTCATAAAATGCTGCCAGTAGGTGGCTATAACCTGCATTCTTCATTTCTTGGTTTTTTCTTCACATCTTTTGTTCTGTGATAGGGCTTGAAATGAAATCTAACACTAAGCCATTTAGGAATTATCCTTAAAAGCAGAACAAGTTATTGATTATGTCATCATGCTTCACACATACTGAAAAACCTTACCTGATAACTGTAAAAACGTTATATCTGATGATAGGTTACACTCAGTGGCTATAGAAGAAGAGCTCTATATCTTCCAAGACTGATACCAGTTGATGGCTCACCCATGCAGAGAAGCAAAGAGAAAAAAAGTAGATCTACATTAATAACTACTGAAAATTCAGGGTTCGAAAAAAAATTACTATTTCTTTTCCAAAATGGGACCAGAGTATTTGGAAATTGATATGGAACTATCTCTTACTCATTATTGACACCTAAATTACATTAAATATTACACAGTAATAAAGAATATGATTCTTTTCAATTAATTCAGTTAAAAACATATATCAAGTCCAGTAAGCATCTAGAAAAAAAAAAACCCAACAACCCCAACTGTTTAGTGCATCTGTGCTTTATAACTAATTGAGTGTATTTCACATGACAGATCTTGAACAAGAAAGTGCTTAATAATGGGTGTGTTTTATATCTCAAACAAAAAAGAAAAACACTATACCCCAGTGCATCATCATGGAGAGAGACCATAAATTGGTTTTTGCCAGATCTATACAATTATGCTGATTTGTAGCACTAAATGCTCCAGGGACAGTTTCCCAAATATACAATTCAATGAATGATATGAGAAACAAACCAACTGTGAAACATGAGATTGTTATTTGGAGAACTGAAGAAGATTTTTTTTTTTACAAAGATACTTTTAATAAATTACAGTTGCTGCTTATTTGTCAATCCACTGACTAAAGTTAAAAAAGCTTCTTTTGATTAATCATGCCAAAGTAAATCTCCTTGAATAAGTGTTCCTATCCATACTTTTATTCTCATTCACTGGACATTCCTTTTTTTACAGTTTTAGTGTGCTATAGAACCTCAGTAAGGATTTAGCATTTGCATAACTGCTTTCCTGAACAGAGATTCATTTGGCATGATTTATTGACATAGAAGCTTTAATAGAAACCACCATGAATTCATCCAGGAGAAATACATGCAAAAGCAATTAAGCACTCATCAAAATGGACCGTTTTCATATTTTATGCCCCAAAGGGCTGTGGGAAACAAATGAGAATCTGCTTCCCAAAACTATGCAGGGTGTCTTTATTTGACAGAACGAAATTACCATAGCTGTTTTTCCATTTTAATGATCTCTCTTTTTATCTTAGTGTGAAATATGTGATAACACCTAGACTTCATATAAATTTATATTACTACTATCTCTTTGTATTTAAGGTAAACTAATAGAAAAACATATAACCTAATACATAAACTTAAACTTCCATTTCATTTCAATAGATCATCAAAACATTTTATATTAAGAGGTCAAGAAGATTTGTTTAATTTGTCTTTGACTTTGTTTATTTTGTCTTCCTACTTCAAGCACAGTTATATAATGTCTTATATTAAAAAAAAATTCTACGTCTCATGACATGACATAAATCATATGCTCCTCACTGAAACAAAATATTTCAAAAGCTTAATTTCAAAATGTCCTATTCAGGATTTCTAAAGTGAGCCTTTTTCTGTCATTATGGAATGTGGTTTTTTTAATTTATCCTGATTTTTAATGTACATTATATTTTTATTCATGATATTGGACATGAGGGAATGTGAATTTATTTTCCATAGCTAGCAAGAAATCAGGTAGCAAGGTATTACAATGTAGAGCTATGATAATCCAAATTGCTGTGTTTATGACAGCTAGAAAAACACACATTCTTGTTTGGAATACCAAACCAATTTGATCTTTGCAAGTTAGGAATTGTCATGTTTGATTGATTGGTTCTGTTTTGGAAGAACACCCTGATTGGTATGTCACATAGCTACTCAAGAGCATGGAACATGGGAGACCTTAGATACATAAAACTGTTTTTGTGTGATGTTTACTTATCTTTTTCTATCCTGTATCATTTCACTAAGGTCTGCACACAGAACGAGTGCAGATTTCATGCCTTCTGAAATTCTGGTACTTGGGCTGCACTTTAAACGGATGAAAATCTTTACTGTAATAGTGGGAATGCTTATTTTCTAAAAGTTATATAAACATGACTGGGGAATGAACACAGGCAGAGAGAATCAGGCTTGTTTAGCCTGATAACCAAAAGGCTCCTGGGAGACCTTATAACAGCCCTTCAGTACCTACAGGGGCCCTTCAAGAAAGATGGTGACAGATATTTTACCATGGCCAGTTGCAATAAGACAAGGGATAATGGCATTAAACTGCAGGAGGGTTAATTTTGATTATGTATAAGAATGAAGTTAGATTGTTTGTTCTTTTTTTTTAATAAGGCTGGGAACACACTAGAACAAGTTGTCCCAAGAAGTGGTAGATAATCCATCCCTGGAAACATTCAAGGTTAGGGTCTCTAAGAGTCTAGTTGACAATGTCCCTGCTCATTAAAGGGGAGTTCAACTTGATGGCATTTAAAAGGTCTCTTCCAACATAAGCTATTTTACGATTCCATAACAACTACAGAAAACTATATTAAGATCTTATTATGCACCAGAAATTATGACAACCTTCCCACTCACAAGTGCAACATGTGGGGTAAAAAAATTCAACCCTAACTCAGAAACAGGCAGGTTATGAACAACATCAACTCCAACATTGTTTAAGGCAGGTAATCCTCACAAAATGAGGAGGAAAAACAAGCCCACAGTAGAGGGCTTGTTACTTGTAACACAGTAGAGTTACATTGCTACTCCAGATTGCAGAACTCTGCATGAAGTCTGCACATTTGCATATCAAAATACAAAAGCTCATTGATTTATTTTGTAGTGCTCCATGTCACAGGTCATTAGATCTCAATCATGTATCCCTCTGTTCAACTGCAGTAATTGATGTTTAATTAAGGAAAATTTTGAGAAAACAATCCAATTTGGCTTTGTCACATTTACTACAAGAAGTATGAGGGAGTCCGTAGCATCCTCCTCCTCCCCAAACCAGCAGGAAGACATGCAGAATATTCTTCATTATTGCTCCTTCCAGCCATGCTGAGGACTTTAAAGATGGTTCATTTACCACCCCTATAGCAATTGTTTCCATCATTTAATTATCATCATTGTTAAAAAGTGGTCCCAAATTTCTGATCAAATATCTGTGGCTCAGCTAGCAGACTCTAATTATGTCTTTCTCTGCTGAATTTAGGTGCTTTTTAACCACTATATCCTCATAGGTTGCAATCAAGTGACATCCCAATTCTATTAAAGATAAAGTGAATGGATTGAGCTCAGTTCCTCACAGCAAGATACTTTCTAATCTTAGGAATATGTCAATAGCTTTTTGTCTTCATCTGCCCCAATTTTTCAACATTCTTTAAAAATTATGGATTTCATGAGCAGTATCTCGGTGCTATATATGAAGATCTAAGACTTCTTAATTTTTTTACAGATTCAAAGGGTTCATTAGTCCCTTTTTTCCTACCGGACTGTACTGTGGGCAAGAATTTGGAACGAGTTCTGCTCTGTTCCAAAAAAGAATATTCAGTGTGGAGATAAGTGAAAAAAAAAATCTGCAGATTCAGGAAGGTAATAACTAATTAGACAACTCAAGAGTGAGGCAATCTGCAGAATGAGCCAAAGAACCACCATTAAACATCATTAAACATCATTCAACATCAATTTTTGACTGAAAACCATATCTTCCCAGAGTATATTAAAAAAAAAAAAAAAAAAGGTGTTACAGAAGGAATACTACAAGTTATTTCCAACGTTAGCACATAGTGTAACTTATGGATTCACAGAATATCCTGAGTTGGAAGGAAACCAGAGGAATTATCAAGTCCAACTCTTAGCCCTGCACAGGACAGCCTCAAGAGTCGCACCTTGTGTCTGAGAGCCTTGTCCAAATGCTTACTGAGCTCTGTCAGCCTTGGTGCTGTGACCACTGCCCTGGGGAGCTGTTCCAGTGCCCAATACTCTCAAAGAACTTTCTTCTGATACCCAACCTAAACCTCCAGACACAACTTCACGCCATGCCCTTGGATTCTGTCACTGGCCACCACAGAGAAGAGATTAGGGCATATCCCTCCACTTCCCCTCTTTAGGAAGAATTTAAAGTGATTAGACTGTTTTCTGATATTTTAAATAAAATATTTTTGTAGCATCCACTTGAAATTTTTTTCCATCTACTTTTAATTTTTTTTTTTACTAATTACTGTGAAGTTTCAAATGTCAGTAGGCTGTTACTGTAATTTATGAATCACTAAGTCCAGTGTATGGAAAAGAACTCAAGAGATAAACTAGTCAATAGGACCTTCCAAAGGCAGGATCTATTGAAAACAATCCTTCAAAATCCTAGACAAAATATTTACTTAAGACACTTTACAGACTATCATAAAGATTGAGCAGATTTTCTGAAAAGTCTTGCTTTTTCATCATATTAATTTTGACAATACCTGGACTCCTTTAGCATCATGTAGAAAGCACTGAGAGAAGTATTTCTTCATTTTCTCTTCTCTGTAGCTTTCCTTTTTTACACATTCATTTCCCCTGCTTTTATGACATCCTACAATTTTAGAAGCTTTTTAGAATTATGCTCTGCTTATGCAGATCTGCCTATACCCAAAATGAAAATGTCTGGAACTGACCTGTTACAACTAAATAGTTTGAGCTGGCTAGAGGCACCTCAGCATCCTTGTGAACTCAGCACAGCTGAGAGTTACAGAGCATTTAGCAGCCTTAATGTAGTTGTCCATGAGATTTTCATCTACATCAGCCTTTTACTGACTTTTCCCTGAAGTAAGCTGCCAAAAACCTTTGTTTTTTTTTTTTTTGCCTGAGCAGATATATTATATAATTTATTTGTACCTCATAAAATCAGATTATGACTTAAAGCTTCCAAATGAAACTTATATAAGAAAAAATGTCTGGACCAAGCAAAAGATTTTCAAAGGGAAAAATGGCACATACTTCTTGAAGACAAAAAAGGTGAGATAATTTCAAGGGGTTTGGTTTTCTTTCTGTGTTATTTTTTTTTTTGTTTTACATTTCCGTTGTCACCCCAAACTGAAAAACTGGTTCAGAAGTCATATGGGATATGAGATCAGTTTTAACTCATCACATGTCAGAGTGATTTTTCTCCTAAAGACAGACTGCTGATATCATCACTATCAGTTCTAAGGTTTTGTTCCTTTTTCAGGGCAGATGTTTTACTCTGACCTTGCTTTGTCAGGCTCTGTGGGGGATGCATGTAACATGACTCTAGGATTTTAACTGGAAAATCAGATCTTATTAGGTTCTCTATTTTTGAAATTTGAAGACATACATATTCATATGGCCTATATGATCAGAGCATAGACATACTTTGTAAATGAGTTCCAGTTCTGTATAAACTTGAATGCACAGGCTCAGGAGTCTCTGAATTTGTACATAGGAGTTTAGCACAAAACCAATAGAGGTATGTATCTGTGTACATCATGTTTGCAATATTAACAACAATAACACTAAATAAATAATACACCTACCCTAAAAAGTATCTTCAAAGGCTTTTCCTGTGGTTTAGGATCATGCACATGTGGAAGGGATCAGTTACCACTACTCAGCAATGGGCTTAGTTGCTATTGATCAAATCAGAGCATTAATTCTGCACAGTGAAATGTTGTCTGGATTTTCTGCTAGGAAAATCTGAGTAACACAGCTTAGTATCTATGCATATCCACACACAAAAGGACACGTAGCAGAAAATCTCTGGATGTGCTTTCATCCTCAATTACTTTTACTGCAAAAGACAGAAAAAAGTAAACTCTGAAAATATTGTAAAGGAAGGAAGTAGGGAGGGAGCCTATAAAAATATTGAAGATTATTCTAAATTCTATGAACCAGAAGGAAAAATTACTGTTTGTGTTTGAATTTCTTTACTTTAAAGGTACCCTGATAATCCTTTGAGAGGCCAGAACGAATACAAAAATTCAGAGTATCTTGTGAAGACATTTCGTTTTGACTATGTGTATAATTTTCTTCTAACTCATTTTTTATAATACTCATTTACTGACTTTTGATGAGCACTAGTTTAACTGACATATTTTTTCTTTGCATGAAAATATATATGATATTATTGTAGAATAGTGGAATAGATTAATTTTCTCCATGATATTTTTTTCCTTCTAGCCTTCTTAACCCAGAATAACTGGTTCCTTTTACAAGTCCCAATAAATGTACATTTCTGCTTTTGGTTTGAAAGCCATTGACTTAACTAACTATTGCTAATAGAGCCTTCTTAATAGCAACCCAAAAACATGAATAAATTGCTAACAAATGGAATTCCTCTTTGCATGGCAGATGAGACTATTTTTACCCTCCTTAAGCTCACCTGGGTTTGCATTGAAGGCAACAGGGCAGTGGGTGCTGAGCCAGGACCAATGATCCAAAGTGCTCCTCAGATGGGGAGAGGATCAGGGGTTGATTTGAACACATGACGTGGGTGGTTGACAATCAGCCTCTCAAGCACTTGTGATTGAATTGTCAGGTGCTCCTGAAATTAAGGTAATACTGTTAGTCACTAATGAAATTAAGAGTCAGTAGCAACAGAAGGAGAGGTCTGAGAAAACAAAACCTATGGCTGGTACACAAGAGCAAGAGACATCTCTGAAATTATGGCGACATTCAGAGTAACTACATGTTTCAGCAAACGTACAAAATGAGGTTGCACACTGCAGGGGAGTTCACTTTCACCAAGATCTCTGTGAGAACTTTTCTATAATTAACAAAATAAATTACAGCAAGTCAACCTGCAAGCAACTTCACAAAGTCTTTCAACTTACTGCATTTTAAAAAACCAGCCCATGTTCAGTTAAGTTTGATTTAGTGACACTTTAATTCAAACAAGTTCTTTGAAGAATTTTCTTCTTGTTTTGATACGTATTTGAAGTATTTCATCAAAAACTCTCTGGGAGCTTGTCATGTTAGCTGCAAATAACAAGAAGTTACTTAACAGTGCCCAATCAGATCATTTTTATTAGATTTTCTCTTAAACACTGGGGCAACAAAGGGAACAGACTAAAGCCAAAATCTAATTCTTAAAAGGTGCATAATTAAAATTGCCACAATATGGTTAATTTCCAGGGTTCCCCAATTTATTTACTGTGCTTTAATACTGTGTACTTTTCCCTGTGTGCTCTGTTACATGTATGGGAATATACATAATTTGAAACTGTTATTCTATATGTATATTAACCATATTTTTCTGATTTTAGGATTTGTTATAATGTTTATCACTGTTGTATTGCAGTGATGGATACTTCTCCAACCCAGTGAGGCAGTGAACCCTTAAGTGATTCATCATATTTATGTCACTCATCATGTGTGCTGTGGTGGTGTTAGCTATCCTGAACACATCCAGGACTGAAATCCAGCCAACTAAGATGTCTGAAATTAAAAGTCCTATGATGGTTTACTTTCATAACTTGCTCATGTAAATTCTGCACACACTATAATGTCCTATTTCACTCTCAGTTTCATCAGTTGATCAATCAGGTAATTGGTAAAGGCTTGTCAAAACCAACACCTTTAAAGAGGCAATGAGACCTGCTGACCCCTGTAGCAACCAGGAATCTTTGAACATTTCTCTGGGACTCAGATTTAGCGAAGCAGTAACAGTGCACGAGAGGTTGGCACTAGTGTAAGTCACATCAACATTTTCAGCTGGACTGAGTTGCATAAATGGAAAAAACAGGAAAACATAAAAATTTCTTACCTAGTTCCAGCTTCCCCAGTCCACAGTCAAGAAAAACAACTTGACACAATTTCACACACTTTCTATTTGTCAGTCTTTACAGTAGATCAGACTTGGAGTTCGTTGCTGAGGATTCCATGTTTCTGTGAGCACCGTCCTCAGCCTCCAGGCTTTGTGAGTGGTCTTTACTGGCATCTGCTGCTGCAAAGGTTTTGAAATGTTAATAAAAACCTCGTCTGATCTCAAAGAGTATCTGGAGTTCAGTAAATTCCCCAATCCTCACTCCCATGTGGGCCTACAGCAAAGCAAAGCACACCTTTCTCAAAAGGTTACATTACTTGAAGTATGCGGGAGAATTACCAGAGAGCCCTTAAGCTTCAGGCACCAACAGGTGTATATATGAAAGAGAGAACAGAAGCTTTAAATATCTCTTTAGTTTGACTAAATTAAGCTAAATGCCTTTTAGTTTACCAGCATGCTCTTCCTGGTAATTGCATTTTGTTTTCTTCTCCAACAGCGATTTCTTCCAGGAAAAAAAAGTAGCCCCTCAGGAGCTGTGCCTTCTCTCATCTTGTCTTTTTCTAACTCCATGCCTATCCTTTTTCTCCAGTCCCTCAACACTCTGAGTTTCTTAGAGAGCATAAAAAGCAGTGTTACAAATAGGCAGGCATCCCAGCAGTGAAAATAAGCTGTGATCAGAGCATTTTTGATAGCAGGAATATGACAGAGGAGTGGGGCTAGCATACACTCACACAAAACTCTGCAGGAATTGTATCTGAGGAAAAATGAAAAGTGATCCTGTGCCCCTTTCAATGTGGTGATCATGTCAGAAACACCTGGGATTTCAAGCTCCCTTAGAGAAATGTAGCTTTCAAGATCCAGTGTGTGGAGGTCACCCATCACTGCTACCAAGTCAGGTACCCCTCTTGTTCAAATGTGACTGCAAAACATCTGTGATATCTGATATTGTTAAGACACAAAGAAGGGAGAGTCTTCATACAAAGGATTCACACCCAATAAAAGGATTACATCTCTCACACTTCTCAGTTCAGCTAGATGTGTATTTTTACATTTGGGGAGAGTCACAAGATCTCATGGATATCAGAAAAATGCTTGTCCTATATGATTATTTCCTTATTAGTGATTTTGAATTTAGTGGGCAATTTTCTGCAAGTGTCATAGAATACTAAACACCAAGCCTGCAAATTTCCCCATTAAAAAAATAAAGAGAACTTTTCTCTAAAATTTTTAAAATGTAGAAATCTTGTCAATCAGTTCCCTTTCCTTTGAATAAATTTATGGTAAATCAAAATAGGATTATAAAATTATACTCTGTAAATCCATTAAGCTCCTAATTTACAAAACTATTTCCAAGCATTTTTTTCCCTGATACAATACCCCAGCTTTCATCTAGGAAAGAACTCATATTCTGCAAAAGTATCAGAGTTACAAGTATCAGATTTTTCCTTTCCTCCTCTTTTTTTTTGTAAAAACATTTTAGCATTGCCTTTCTTGTCTCTATTTTCAAACCTAACAAAGGCAACTAGTTTATAAATTCATTCTTTTGCTTATTACGGATTTGTTAATTTTTTGCATATTAACACACTTTGTTCATACCACCAGACTCTGTCTGGAAATGAAGAGACCACTAAAAATAAAGTAAAGCTATCAAGTTAATCTTCTGGCAAAAGACTGGAAAGTTTCATCTTTCTTCATCATATAAACAGAACGAAAATATTGCAAACACGATGACGTATATATTAAATAGTCATATTGAAAATGCTGTTCCTCTTGCAAAATTAATTTCTTAAAGCAGTTGAAGGTATTATTTTTAGTATCTCACAATCTACTCATCTAATTGATCCAACCAATGATAATCACAGCCCATCTGCTTCCTTCAAACTCCCTTTCAAGGGTATCAGCACACTTCAGCTGCACTATGCCACAGTTACTAAGGCAACCAGTGTGTGAAGCAGGCAAAAGCTGTGCTTATTCACATTAAAATATTCTCCTGCCAGAAAAACCCTACAAAATTATGTATATCAAAAGCTACACATATACTTGCAAGAAATATATATGAAAGAACTTTGGAGGAGGGGGAAATACATGCCCTATTTTTCTTTCTTTCTTTTTGTTCTTTTTGAAAATACTTTTATGTTTGTGAAATACGGAAATAGAGGCTTCATATGACATAAGATAAATCGGAAGTATTCGGGGCAAGTTATGAAGATTTCCAAGTGTGCAGTAGATATAGAAGTTGCTTCCTCAATGTACCTTCTATGTAAGTGAAGCAATGACACAGATTTATGTTCATGGAGTTCCTCACATGCTCACTGGGTGATGCCAGTTTGGCCTGCCCTGTGACTGTCAGGTTACTCTATACTGTGTGGCCTAAGAGTCCTTTCCCAAATCCCAGGTCTGGATGTTTTTGAGCTTGGAGGGCAAAAAAAGCCCCATCTCTTTCCTTGTGCTAATTTTTTCTCAGAAAAGCATGACAGGTACTTTTTATTTAAATATTCTGCCATTTTTTTATACTAAATTTATTCAGAAGTGAAATTCTTCTGAGGAGACAACAAATACACGGGTTTGGAAAGGCTTGAGAGGATATAGATAGAATCAGAAGATTTGCAGAACATGAAACCAATTCTATGTCTTTCAGCAATATTCAGAAAAAAATTCTGCCCTGATCTCTAACCCATTGCAACATAACAAATATAAAACCTCTCCCTCTCTTACTGCTTTCACCAAATGCAAAACTAATTAGAATCCTGTGGAGAAATAGAGCCTCTGAGGTTATTGCAGGTGAATAATATGTTTTGATGAATTAGCTGAAATATTAATGTACCAGAAATAATCACATTGCACACTGAAGGCTGAGACACTAATTGTGTCTTGCATCTTTATACAGAGCTGACACTATTTAACAAGGCAAATAGCACAGCTCTGAGGATGCAAAATCCCTTACTGGGAAAACAGAAACATCTTCCAATTTGAATGGGGCTGCCAGGACAGCTCACCTTTGGAATGGTCCCTCCTCTAGTGAAATGTTAGCAGTTTTGTTCAGAGCTAAACAGAAATTTTCCTGTGAAACAAAGTGCATCAGAAGTGGTAGATTATTGAGTTCCAGATTATTAGTCTGATTGTCTGTGTTTCTTCATCTGTGTCCCACTTGAAAGATTTATTCTGCTTTAAGCACTGAGGAGAGGATTTGCTTGCCTGCTTCCAAATTATTCATACAAGCATCCTCTTATGGTTGGTAGGGAAATTGGCATTTATGGAAAACAATTTATCTGCACAGTTTTATCCCTGTCAGAGCAGTGGAGTTACAGCCTACACTTCCCTGTTTCTCTCCACTGATTGTAACAGAAGCACAGATATCTGGCTCAAGAGCAGACGTCTACATTTCATCAGGCAAATCATCCTCCCCTTAAGATCATGATCTGCTGTCTTTCCTTAGTATATTCCTGTCCTCAGGAAATTATTAGTCTGGGCAATATGAAATTACTTCCTGAGTTATAGGGAACTTGTATAATTGAGTAATATACTTAAGAGAAGTCCTGCAGTGAAGGGCAAAAATACCACCAGTTCTGACCTTGTATCAATGAAGCAGAAAAAGACTCAAGACTTTATTAGCTACACCAAACCTTAGGAACCTGGCAGCCAGTTGCATTTCTGATTTGCAAAATTTAGGAATGCCATGGTCAAATTAACACACCTAGTGCACACAGCCAGTTGTGCCCCAATTCAATTTTTCCTTGCAAAGCCCGTCTAATCCAGACGTAAGAACAAGGATCAACATTATACAGGCCATCCAGAATGAGGAATTATTTTAATGTAAAAGAAAGAGAAAAAAAAATCACATTTTCCCCAAAGATAACTGAGGAAACCCATGGATAAACATGTTATATTATTAGGTGTTTTATCATTTCCTAAGCATAGAGATGCAATGTGGTAAAAGAACAAACAATTTCTAATACCTAGTGTAACTTTTTCTCAATGTGTGTTGTCAGATTCACTGAAAAGAAGCAGTTATTCTATGCCATGTGAAAATTTGCATGCTCCAAGCTTTCAGTGCCCACTTCTCACGTGAATTCTGCTCAGATCAATTAGATACCTCTGCAAACTCCTTGCATGGTTGACTCCTTAGCAATCCAGGCTTTTTTGAAGTGAGCAACGATCAGATTAGATGGTTCTGTAAATGGTTTAAGTTACAAAATTAAGGTATAAATACATTTTTCTTAAGTATCGTAGAGTGACACACAGTCCTGACTAGCATAGCCACAGGAAAACAAAGATATGGTTTATCTGCACTTTGATTACTCTCTTAGCAAGGTCTCTTGGCTTGCCAGATTTCTGCCTCCAACTAAACCAACTATGGCATCCAATTAATGGCACTTAATACATCTAGGTTAGCTCTGGGGGAGCTGTCCCAGCACTATTGTAGCTCAGGATAGAGCAGATTAATCCCAACTAGTTGTCTTACTAGTCAAGCTCAGAATGATAGAAAGGCACCAGAAAGTTCTCTTTCTGTGAGCCAAGCTGAATTCTGACACAGCCAAGTTTCTAGTCCACAATAATTGCTATATATCTGAGTTTTCACTTACAGAGGCTGAAGAGTTGAAAAGCAATGAACATTTGTAGCTTGCCTGTGTGAAGAAGCAGGATGAAAGCACTTAGAGCTCAAAAATTCAATACAGTGTCACCTTACAGCTGCAAATGATAGAACTGGAGAAGTTTAACTGCAGCCACACATCATTTCTATCAATAGGTCTCATGGGCTTCTAGTAGTAGTAGATGGGTGCATTGATTAAGATGACTCAGCTGCCTCTTGCATCAGTGGTTCCAGTTGAGATAACTGCTTACATAAGCTGGATGAAAAAAGTTAATGTGCTGGGCAATGTGAGAGTATATCAACAGCAATCAAACAAAAGTGAAGAAACTAGACTGAATACAGTGCAAGCAAGCAGTGCATGAGAGAATTATTCTTCTAGGAGGGAATAATTTCCCGCTGGATACATATTTTGGAGTGTAATTTGTATTTTTGTACAAGCATGATAATTAGCATTATAGATAGCACACAAACTCGGTGGACATCACATAATTATCTCCTTAAAATGTAAACAGATATCTGCTAAACTGCATCCACAGCCTTTTAGGTTTCTATAAATACTGTAATAACTGCAGAAGTTCATTTAAACAAA